GCCCAGTACAATGCTAGAGGCTCATATCAGCCAAATAATCTCTGCAGCCAATACTTGTTTGGTAGATTTAAGAGTAACCCTCAGGAATCTCAAAAAACAATCATTTTGGGCCCTTAATATAATATATATTAGGCCCATCTTGGAGTATGGTGCACTAGTATGGAATCTGTACCTGTAAAAACCATGTTAAGAAACTGAAGAAAGTGTATAAGTACGAAACAAGACTTGTTCCTGAGCTATGGGGCATAAACAAGAGGCTAATGAAATTGGGCCTAACGACATTGGAAGACAGAAGAACCAGGGGACACATACAAAATCTTCAGGAAAATTGATAAGGTAGATAGGGATAGGCTGTTTGAGAGGTGAGAACCAGAAACTCCACTAGAAGTTAATAGCGCAGATAAAGCACAGGGATGTTAGTATTTCTTCAGTCCCAATAAGAGAGGTTAGGAAGTGGAATGATCTTGGTGAGTATGTAATGAAGGCAGGTTCCAAACACAGTTCTAAGAGCAAGTATGATAGGCCCCATGAGGCTAAGAGGGAGCAAATCTGAAGAGTGGCAAGTTAATAGGCAGGGTCAGAATCTGAGAATCAACACCTGCAACCACCAGCGAGTACACCACCTACCTTTTTTTCCACTTCATCTTTCACTGATCCATCTGCTGATATGTCGAACAGAGTGCAATGGACAAATGAAGAAGCAGCAGCAGTTACACACACAGCAAGAGGCATTCCTAAGCATCCCAAGCACTCAGGCTGGAGCCCAAAGCTGGGGTGTGGCTCCAAAAGGATCCTGTAGTGCTTGCTGCCTTTGCACCTCCTGACATCATCTGCTGCTATGCAGCTGCCACACCCTTCAAGCCCAGTGGGGCGGGGTTTGTGGCAGCCCAACGTGCCTAGCTTCTCCTTTCAAGCCCAGTGAGGGAAGGGAATGGGGCTAGGCCTGGGGACAGCTAGTCCCAGAAGATGAGGAGGTACTTGCACCTCCTCCCATGGCAGACATACTTCTCAGACACTCCCATCAAAGGTTGGGTCGCCAGCTGGCAGAGACCCGGGTCAGCAGTACCGGCGAATCTCAGAAAAGCAAAGCATGCTGATATGTCCACTCCCAAATATCTAAATACATCGACTTCCTCTATACTCCCTCCCTCCAATCTGATTTGTCTCAATGTTCATAAACTTAACCTTACCCACACTCCAGTAGCACAACAAATTGGTAGGTAAGACGCATAGGTAACATTTAGGCAACTTTATTCCGAAATGTTTCGCCTACACAGTAGGCTTCTTCAGTCGAGTACAGAAAGTAGGCAGGAGCAGTAGATATGTGAAGACGATGTAATCAGTCCATCACCCTTGAAGTCGTGGATTTGAGGTTGTCAGTCCCTCTTCCTGTTGAAGTTCTGTTCCAAAATCTGGAACTAACTGAAAATCAAGCGACAGTGTTGAGACTTAAACACTGTCGGAAGGAGAGGTGCAGAGTAGTAGTTGTGAGAATGTAGCCAATGAGAGGTCACGTCCCTCTCAGATCAAACAGTTCTCGCTGGTACTGTATACCATCTTGATATTCACTCTGTCAGACACTGCAACACAATGGCATCTTGGTACAGAAGAGAAAACACCTTGGACAACTTTTTCAAGTGAGAATTGTTTGATCTGAGAGGGACGTGACCTCTCAGTGGCTACATTCTCACTGCTACTACTCTGCACCTCTCCTTCCGACAGTATTTAAGTCTCAGCACTGTCGCTTGATCTTCAGTTAGTTCCAGACTTTGGAACAGAACTTCTCCAGGCTGAGAGACTGACAACCTCAAATCCACGACTTCAAGGGTGATGGACTGATTACATCGTCTTCACATCTCTACTGCTCCTGCCTAGTTTCTGTACTCAACTGAAGAAGCCTACTGTGTAGGCGAAACGTTTCGGAATATAATTGCCTAAATGTTGCCCATGTGTCTTACCTACCAACCTGTCGGTATTGTATACCATTTTGATATTTACTTTGTCAGACTGCTTTAGTGGCTTCGTTCCTATCTCCAGGACAGTCTTCCAGGGGCATGCCTCTTCTCTCAAGACCCTGGACAACGGCACTCCACAGGGCGGGGTGCTTAGTCCCACCCTGTTCAATGTACTGATGCATCAGCTGGTGTGCCTGCCTTTCTCCAGAGGCACTATCCTCCTCAGCTGTGCCGATGACCTGGCACTTGTCGTACCTAGGAAGCGCCGGCTTTTGCAGCGTGCCCAGGAGGACCTCGATCTGCTGGCTTCCACTTGCCATCGCTTGGGGCTTAAGATATCTGCGGCAAAATCCAAAGCCATGATCCTTCACACCAGGGTGCCCAGTCAGAGGCTGCGGGTCCTGGGCATCGACCTGGAGTGGGTTCACAGTTATAGGTACCTTGGCATCTACATTGACAGGCACCTCACCTTCCAGAAACATGTGCGCCACATTAAAGAGAGGGCTCTTCAGAGGGTCAGGCCATTGAGTGCCATGGCCAACCCTAGGGTTAGGGCCAGCCTCGAGGTCATGAGGTTGTTCTACATCCAGGCAATATGTTCTCTCGTTGACTATGGGGCACTTGCTCTGATTCACGCCAGACCCACAAACATCAAATCCCTCTGTATCATCCAGAACAAAGCTGTATGGGCCATGCTGGGGGCTCATAGGTGGGCCAATGCAGTAGCTCTGAACCTTGAGGTGCAGCTACAGCCTCTCCAACTGGTAGCTGCCGAGAGGATCGCAAAGTATCTCCGACTCCCAGGGGCTGACAAACTGATGAGAGATTTACGGGTCCGCCAGGGACAGGTCATTCCACTGCATCCCAGCCGCCGATGGATGTGGTCGGTAGCAGATGCCACATGGAAGCTCTTGCCCATGACATTGCTCCAGGCGGGAAGCTGCGACAGACTGGCAGTGAACTACACGGTGCCACCCCCTTGGGCACCAGAGCTGTTTGCGGTGCACTGGACAACCCTACCAGACAGCAAGAGGCATTGCACCCAGGACATTCTGCAACGACTTGTTTCGGCTAGCATTGTGGGTGCGGAAGGCCCTGGGTGTGTGCCATATTACACCGATGGCTCCAGAGACCCAGTGGCAGGCCGCACAGCTGCTGGGATGTTCCACAGCAATCTGACAGCAGGTTGGCGCCTCCCAGACCATTGCACCATCCTCCAGGCTGAACTCTTTGCCATCCAACAAGCTCTGCAGCATGCTCTTGCAGACCATCAGCATCCCCCCATCATCCATGTTGATTCCAAGGCAGCGATCCAAGTGCTTATGCACAGAGAGCCAAAGGACAACATACACTTAATCACATCCATCCGGGGTGACCTGCAGACTCTCATGGCCCAGGGTCGCAGGGCTACCATCAACTGGATCCCGAGCCATGTGGGTATCCCTGGCAATGATGCTGCAGATGAGGCTGCTAGGACTGCAACCCTCGAGGCACAGCCACGTGCTGCAATCTCCATCAGCCTCAGCCAGATTGCGCTGTGGGCTGCTGGTGCGGCCAGGCGCCCATTCCCTGACCCTGAGGATTCACGGAGCCTCTGTTGGTTTGTCAGGGCGACCCACAGGGTGCCCCCTCCAAGTATTCGAACACAGTCCAGAGAACTGAGGGTGCATATCCACCGCCTACGCTTAGGGTATCCCACCACTGCGCAGATTGTTGAACAGGCACGAGAGGAGCTCTGTGCTCATTGTGACCGAATGGTTCCGAAGCCCTTGGTGCACTACCTGTTAGACTGCCCGGCTATGATGCCCCTTCGCCGTAGATACTTCCCAATGACCCCAGTGGGACAGGCCCGAGAGGATGAGGCAGCACATCTTGTGTACTTAGCCGTCAGGGACTTGGAAACCTTACTTCCAGTCATTGCACGTCATCCGCCCCCCCGCTAAAGTTGCTGCGAGGGCCTGCTTTGGGCCTCCATTGCACTGCACACCAGCCGCTGTTCGTGCACACTAACGTTTGGTACGTCATCTGGCCATAGAGCCGGTGAGGTACCCCCCCCTTCCTGCTGAAGACCTGCCACGCAGGTGCAAGTAAAGATAAACGACACTTCCCTACCCGGGGAGCCAATGCTGGGTCACCAAAATGGAAGAGACCCGGGCCGGGATACCATACCGGCGAATCAAATAAAATAGAATGCAACACAATGGCATCTTGGTACAGAAGAGAAAACACCTTGGACAACTTTTTCAAGTGAGAATTGTTTGATCTGAGAGGGACGTGACCTCTCAGTGGCTACATTCTCACTACTACTACTCTGCACCTCTCCTTCCAACAGTATATAGGTCTCAGCACTGTCGCTTGATCTTCAGTTAGTTCCAGACTTTGGACAGAACTTCTCCAGGCTGAGAGACTGACAACCTCAAATCCACGACTTCAAGGGTGATGGACTGATTACATTGTCTTCACATCTCTACTGCTCCTGCCTACTTTCTGTACTCGAATGATGAAGCCTACTGTGTAGGCGAAACGGTTCGGAATAAAGTTGCCTATGTGTTTTACCTACCAACCTGTCAGTATTATATACCATTTTAATATTCAGCACAACAAATTATTGCGTACCTATGTGAACATTATTATAATCATAACTAAGCACTAAACGCATAAGGGTCATACAGTGCTGACCTATATGAATAATGCATTTATATTTTGAGATTTGTTACTGGTATGGATAACGTATAGGTTTATACTTTTTTGTGTATCAAAAATATCAAATGAACATCTGCATTTTTTATTTAATAAATTTGGCATGAATTGACTCAAGAGGTGTCTTAAGGCTGGTGAACGATTTTTGATCCAAGTTCAAGGTACCCTCCCATTCCTTGGATTAAACCCGATTAACCCCCATTTCCCAGGTGCTGTATGACCCCTTAGATTTTAGCACTTCGCCACGAATATAATAAAAGTAATGAAGACAACTATATGGCTCTGTAGTTCACTATACTGTAGTATAAGATTTTTATCCAGTGGTAAGACTGAGTTAAACACATCTCCTTTCATTCTTTATTTACGTTAAAACAGTCATACTGACATAACATAAAATAAGGATACAATATATTCTTTACAACTATAAGGGGACTGGAAATTCCCATAATAAAAATCCAACTTTACAACATTGTGTAATATACATGTTATAACTGGAAACCTAAGAGTATTTCTTTGATATATGAGAGTAGATTAACACCTCATGTTCTTAATAAGTGATAGCAATGGCACATAAACCCCTAAAGCTCCAAAGTGGCCATCTTAATGTGAGTCAGTCATTTTGTATACACTGTTTTCTTTTGCAGTTTTAAAGTAAAAGTTGCTGTGACAGAGAGCAATGATGACATCACAGTTTTGAGCTTTTTATAATACATCAAAATGAAACAAGGGGTTGTTAAAATTGTATTCTAAACAACTTCTACTGTGAAGCTACTTAGAAAATGAGAATGCTGCTCAGTCGAGGTAGAGGATACACTCTATTTTTAAGCAAGAAGCTTTCCTTGGTCCGGACACTGGCTCACTTTATATATTGTGATCTCTACAGTTAAGTACAAAATACTTCTATTGAACAATTAGACTGAACCAAGAAAAACTTTTGAATTTGATCTGCCAAGCCTAGATGAGCAGGGTATTAGGACAACTACATCACTACACCAATACACTAATGTGTGACTTGTCCAGACATCTGTACAGTAGTTTTGCTATTATCATGCATGTCAATCACCTTAAAGTCTCTAAAGCTCTGTTCCTGATATCTTTACTAATCATTACTTTCTATACATGAACAGTGTCATAATGTGTTATATAGCCCATCATCATTGCCAATTACTTATTATATATGACTGTTGAATTAAAGAATCTGGAAAATAATTAATTGTATATTCAATGAATATCTTTCTAAATGGTGCTATAACAATATCATATATACAAATGCACCTATATTATTAACAGCCTTATTTTTATAACCAAAAACAGTTATAATCAATGCAAAGAAATAATACCAATGTAGATAAACAGCTCTTGTGAAATTGTTCATTAACTTTTAGTGAATTGATCCATTTTATATAACTTGTGTTACAAAATAAACTAAATATAAAGTTAATTTTCAGGATAAGTTTGATTCAAGTCACCAAAAGTTGCACAAGAAACTGTTGTACCTTACGTATAATAGATTCAATACAAATACGTATAGAAGCTTTTATGTAGAACCTTTAAGATAATTTAATATTTAGTTATTCAGTTTATCAGAAAAAATAATCATCCGTGCTTTTAGGTGTGTGTGAGTGTGTGTTTATATATGTACAATCATTAATGATGAACACTGTTCAAATAAAAGGAAGACCACAAATCCTCTTAAGGTGACACATTAAGCAAGAAGAGAGATTCTAGTTTGTGCAACACTGATCAACTGAGCTTGATACAAGGTGCTTAAAAGGTCAAGCATTGAAGAGAGTAATGTTTAAAAACATTTAGAAAATAAGGTGTTCCTCTATTGTTACTCATGCTTTTGGTTTAATAAGAGGTACAAATATTAAAAGTAATATAAGAATTAATCCACTAAATATGTTTCCACTTTCATCATATGACAATAGAGCACTTATAGTCTTCCTTATCCTTATGAACTACACTGTTTCGGCTATCATGATCAAAGATGTTGCTGAAATATCTTCATGTATTATTTTAACAGATGTAGTAAATCTTGTATAAAATATAGTGCACTTACAACCAGACTTTTCAAAGGAAGATGAAATTTAAGGAATTTCTAGAACTAAATCATTACACTCTCTCTATAGAAAATAACAGAAAAATATTCCAGTTATATATCACCTGCAAAATGTGGCATTTAAGCCTGTTTGCACAGATCTGCACTTACAGTATCTCCAAAAAGCTGCTACATCACAGTTCATAACACCATATAAGAGATATTAATCACATTAACAATTGTAACCATTCAATTGTTTTGGAGCCTTGTTTACTCTGATTCAGATCCAGCCTCCAATGATCCTCCTTTTTTAACAACACTTGTGTGGGAACGGGACGAAGACCGTGATAGTGTTCCTGTTACTTTTCGACCTTGAGAATTGACTCTTGGTCGACGCGTAGAGCCCGTTCGAGTCTTTGGTCGAACTGAATGCTGTCCCGGAGATGAGGAAGCAATTGAAGCTAAAGAAGAGTGAGACGATGACTCAGATAACTCGAGCTCTGTATTCAGCGAGACGGTGGACCCAACTCGCTGAGCTCGAGCCCATTCTGCACCACGAGTCACATCTGCTGCATTGATCTGTAGTGAGCAATGAAGCATATTTTCATCAAGTCATGTGCATTAAAACAATCATGATACAGTATACAATACAGATGCTCCTTCCTTTATGATGGTTTGACTTAAAATATTTCGACTACAATGGTGTGATATTTAGAAGTCCTCTATGACAGGATAAACTTTTATTCATTTATTTTCTCTTCCATACTGGTATTTAGTTAGCACAGTCATCATTTGTTTATTTACTTATTCTGTGAAGTAGTTATTCATTTATCATATATATTCATATTTGACTTACGACATTTTCAACTTATGATGGGTTCATCAGAATGTAACCCGAACATAAGTCAAGGAGCATCTGTATTCCTTTCATCATTTGTTTATTTACTTATTCAGTGACAGTAGTTATTCATTTATCATATATTCATATTTAACTTACGACATTTTCAACTTACGATGGGTTCATCAGAACGGAACCCGAATATAAGTCAAGGAGCACCTGTATTCCTTTCTAAAAGATAACTTTTCAGTTATTCATTTATCATACATTCATATTTGACTTATGACACTTTCAACTTACGATGGGTTCATCAGAACGTAACCCGAATATAAGTCGTGGAGCACCTATATTCCTTTCTAAAAGATAACTTTTCAGTTTTTAATATGATAAACTGGAGTTATGCGCACGTGTAATTGTGCTTGCCTAATATTATTACTGTGTATATTTTAAAGAGGGCAATGTGTGGTGTGAATATAATGCAGAGAATTCGTAGTTTGGAAGTTAGGAGGAGGTGCGGGATTACCAAAACTGTTGTCCAGAGGGCTGAGAAAGGGTTGTTGAGGTGGTTCGGACATGTAGAGAGAATGGAGCGAAACAGAATGACTTCAAGAGTGTATCAGTCTGTAGTGGAAGGAAGGCGGGGTAGGGGTCGGCCTAGGAAAGGTTGGAGGGAGGAGGTAAAGGAGGTTTTGTGTGCGAGGGGCTTGGATTTCCAGCAGGCATGCGTGAGTGTGTTTGATAGGAGTGAATGGAGACAAATGGTTTTTAATACTTGACGTGCTGTTGGAGTGTGAGCAAAGTAACATTTATGAAGGGGTTCAGGGAAACCGACAGGCCGGACTTGAGTCCTGGAGATGGGAAGTACAGTGCCTGCACTCTGAAGGAGGGGTGTTAATGTTGCAGTTTAAAAATTGTAGTGTAAAGCACCCTCCTGGCAAGACAGTGATGGAATGAATGATGGTGAAAGTTTTTCTTTTTCGGGCCACCCTGCCTTGGTGGGAATCGGCCAGTGTGTTAATAATAAAAAAACATTTTTTAAAGATTAACTATAGTTTTACATACAGAAAACAATGAGAAATAAATATAAAGCACAAACTTTAATGATAAATGAACATTACATACCTTCATTGAAGATTCTTGTTAGCATATTGAAGAAGGCGAGGAGGGGAGAGGGAGTTGGGGTTATTGTTTGGAAGGGAAATCCCCCTCTATAAGGACTTCAGGTATCAAAGCCCTCTCTTGGGTTACTTCCCTTCTTTGTTTTTTACTGGCACTAGGATCAGCTTGAGAGTCACTGCATCCCTGTTGCACAAAAAACTGTCCAGAGAGGTCTGTTTCTGGTGTCTCTTTAAGATCTGCCTGAAGTGGGAAGAGGTTTCGTCACTGAATTCTATCGTGTTTCTCACTTTCTTTACCAAAGGGCTGGCACTAGGAACTTTTTTTGGGCCCATGGTGGCTTATTTTGCAGTCACACTCAATAAACCCTCAAAAACAAAAAATGGATTATAACGAAATGTTTGGATAAATGTGTGGAATGTTTCTCACTCACCCAAAGACACAGCCAGACTGACTCACGAATGCGGTGGAGTGGCGGGCAGACGCGTCCGAGTTGCCGGCTAAAATCCAGGACAGAATTTCGGCCAAAAAAGTGGCCGAAATCTGATTTGGCTGATGTCTGGGGTTCCACTGTATTTTTAAATGTTTATATAATAGTGTATTGTACATTGTAATAAACAAAATAGAGGAAATCAGCTCTAATATAATCCTCAGTAAAGGTAAAGTGCAGTTAAATTTTCATTTATTTCATGTATTTATTGCTTTTATAGTTTTCACGTATGATTTTATGCATGCAAATACTATACAGGTTTAAATAAGCAATATTTTCACTTAAAATATATTATAATTGGAAATTTTTATGGGTCTGGAATGGATTAATCCAACTTATATTGTTTCTTATGGGAAAAACTTATTCAATATTCATACATCTGGAGTATTCGAACAGCCTCCTAGAACAGATTAAGTTCGTATATCAAGGTACCACTGTATATAAAGTGCTCCATAAAAATACTCACCATTGATTTTGGTCTGGGTCGATTCTCAGACTTGCCTCTTTTTCGTGGTTGTCCTTTTGCTAGCGGTTCTTGGAAGTGTAGCGTAGGCTGAGATCTGATGAAAGTGCAAAATATATTTAATGATCTAAATCAGATTACAGCATTTAAAGAAAAAGAACAAAATACACTTTTAAAAAATTTTAGAGTGAAAGAAACAAAAATACTCTACTGTCCTCTTAGTCTGATTAATATAATTCAATCAATATATTCAGTGTGATCAATTAAAAGAGGAACTCACTTAGCACAAAAAATACAATAACAATACAGGAAATAAAAACTTCTTAATGAAATTACAAAATGTGTTCGCTTGGTGTACAAATAAATAACATTTAAAAAATCTTCTGTATCGTAACGCTACAACTGTGTTCAACAATGTGAGAAAAACAAATACAGATTAATGCATCTATATATACATATATACAAGGGTTAAGTCATAATGCATTCAATGTTATTGTTTACATATATCCATATAAATTTTGCATACTATTCCAAAATAAATCTGAATATTAGCTAATAACAGCTGACTGCACAGTTAGTAAATACTGCTGCTTAATAATTCCCCAAATATATTTCTCATAGCAAAAGCATTAATCTCTATATGTTATTAACAAAAGGGTTACCAGATAATTACAAAATGTGTAATAATCCAACACTTAAAATTAAAATAACCAAGAAAATTTGGAAAGTTTGCAGAAGCCAATACACTTGGAAATTATGCTAGAGAGTGAGCACCTTTAATCAGGTTTGTATTACAGCTATTTTTATCAAGCAATGTTATCTACAGTAGCCAGTGTTAACACCAACACCTCATGCAAACAGGTCCATCTCTGGCCCAAACACTTAAATATGGCATGACCCATGTTAAGTCTCATTGGTCAAGAGCATAGCAGGAAAAGGTGATTTATATAGAGTCAATATGGTACGATTCAATTTTATTTCATGCACTCTTGGCTGATTTTCTTTAAAAATAAGTTTTTATCTTAATAGCATAATTTTATTGTAGTCTCAGTGCTGAGCATCTAAGCCCTCTTGTAAAACCTTTAAAGCATACCAAGTTTTATCAGCACATCACAAATAACCTGATGACCCAGACTCTACAAGATTAATATTCTTCTTAGAGTGATTTATAGCTTTCTTGGGGAATTAAATCATGATTCCATCTTCCACAGTATGCCAAAGGAAAAGTGTAAAAAAAAAAAAAAAAAGCCAATCATAACAAAAAACAATAAGCTTAAGTTATTATAGCCATTGCTAAAGCAAAGCAAACAAAAACTGGAGCACATATAATAGCTTAATAATACAGTATTACAAAACATTCATAAAATTAATAAACATCAGCAAAAAAAAAAAAAAAAAAAAAAAAAAAAAAAAAAAAAAAAAAATAGCACAAAGGAATAGCCACCACATGAATCATCCAGAAACAGACCACTATCAAAGTTGTAATTATTCTAATAAGGGGATTTCATTTTCCATATTACTGATCAGAGAATAACACATTAATGATAAAAACATTTATAATTTAAGATTATGCAACCATATTTTACTAACATTGCACATACAATGCAACATATGTATATAAGAGCCAAGTGAAAATATTCATTGCTGCAACTACGTGGAAATTTCGACCAAAGGTTTTCATGAGACACGCAGTATTAACCTATTCTTGATATGCAACTTTATAATTTGTTTAATAGTACCCATGCATCATCTAAATGTTCACTTTTTTAAGAAAAGTGACTATTTTTTATACCAAATAATATATTTTTTAATTATTATATTTATGTTAAGAGCACAACCCATAAGGGTTATTCACCACAAATTTTAATAAATAAAATTAATTTAGTGGTGACTTCAGAGAACTTTTATCAATGCCTTTAGTCATAGATAAACACTGATAAATTATTTCTTAAGTAAGAGGGTGAAGCAGAGAAAAACGACTGATTTATTAACTGTAAAAATGTTCTAGTTATTTTATCCTCTCCAGATTTTTATTCATCATATTTTTACTTATGTGAATTATCTTTGAATCTTATAACTTTTATATTTATCTGTAAATTTCATGCCTGACTACTGACAGAAATATGCCACTCTTATTTTCAACAATCTCTTCCATGGATATTAGTAGCTTAAACTAACCATGATGAAAATATTGTTGTTACATGCCGTTACATACAGGAGGGCTCCTGCTGTACAGCACTTCACTTTACAGCGTTTTGCTAAAGCAGCAGCTTTCAATTATACCCATTCTTTATTTATTCAGACTTCCTATAATAAATATATTCACCACTCACTCTAAACTTATGACACAAATATTTTAAGGTAAGTCATGTGTGTACTCTACATGCATTTTTTAGGCCTAACTCTATTGCTCACTTAATATATGATAGTGTAAACATTTTATCAGGCTTTTATATGCATCTGAAAGTTAAAACAAAGGCTATGTTTCACATTACAGCAATTTTTGCTTTACAGCAGTAGCCCAGAACCTAACCTGCTATATAAGCAGGCCCCTCCTGTACTTCTGTTGTTGTCTCTACAATGTATTCATTTAAGGAGCCTTGAAGCACATCACCATAACCCACTTCAGTCACTTTTTTTTAACATACCGGCCATCTCCCACCTAGGCAGGGTGACTTCAGAGATATCAACACTAATCAAGTTTTCTTCCATTTTCTTTTGGAAATCCTGTCTTTACTCCCATTCCCTGATGCATGTGTAACAAGACTAATTGTAACATAGCTAGACTACACCTATTACAGCTAAAATATTTTCACAAGCTTCACGTGTGTCGTATTTTCAATATATTTAAATATTTCATCCAATATATAAAATTAAACCTAATTTTAGAATATCAAATTAATAAATACAAAACAAAAAATTAAATACATATATATATCACAAAAAAATTGAGGCATTATACAAAACAATTACATTTGGGAGAGTATTATATTATTATGAGACAAAGTAACTATAAACAATTAGAAAAGAGTTAATATACAAGTAACAAATTTAAGAAACCAGATGTTATGTCTTGGAAAGAGGCTTGAAACAAAAACAAAACAAAAAACAAAAATAAAGAATAAAATAAAATAAAATAATTTCTTCATAAAAGCATTTCACAGTTATGAAGTATCATCTCCATGACTGGCATTTTAACATCAAATGAAGGAAATACTGCCGTCTACAAAGTATGGATTGTCATTCTTGAGTTTATAGTTGGCAGACAACTATCACCATTATAATTCAACTACACCACTGGATCAATTTATACACAGTAAATAAACTCTTTTCAGTGAAAGTTTTGTACAAAAAGTAATTCTGTTAAAATATCTTTAACAGAAAATAATTTATATCACAATAATTTTCATGAACTCCCCAGATCCTCTAATTTTCTTCTTATATCTGCTAGCTTTATGCCTAACTCATGTTACTAACATTCTATGTGTAAGTTTGTCACATGGAACAAAATGTTAATCATAGTTATCAAATACTTTCCAAAAGGGTGTTTTGTCTGCCATCTAATAAACGTTTGCAAAAATTTAGCCATGCATGCTTGAGTATAACACAACAGTGTGTATAGGTCAACCTCTGACTTCTAAAAATTTATTAAGAAGAAAAAATAAAATAACAAAAAAAAACAAAAGGAAAAAAGTGAAAAATAGATGAGTGAGAAAACAAGTGGAAGGTAAGATGAGCAAAAAGAAAAAAAGGAAAGAGAAAAGAAAAAAGAAAGAGAGAAGAAAAGAGAAAGAAGAAGAGAGAGAAGAGAGAGAGAGAGAGAGAGAGAGAGAGAGAGAAGAGAGAGAAGAGAGAGAGAGAGAGAGAGAGAGAGAGAGAGAGAGGAGAGAGAAGAGAGAGAGAGAGAGAGAGAGAGAGAGAGAGAGAGAGAGAGAGAGAGAGAGAGAGAGAGAGAGAGAGGAGAGAGAGAAGAGAGAAGAGAGAGAGAAGAGAGAGAAGAGAGAGAGAGAAGAGAGAGAGAAGAGAGAGAGAGAGGAGAGAGAGAGAAGAGAGAAAGAGAGAAGAGAGAGAAAGAGAGAGAAAGAAAGAGAGAAAGAGAGAGAGAGAGAGAGAGAGAGAAGAGAGAGAGAGAGAGAGAGAGAAGAGAGAAGAGAGAGAGAGAGAAGAGAGAGAGAGAGAGAGGAGAAGAAAGAGAGCGAGAGAGAGAGAGAGAGAGAGAGAGCTAAAATAGGTTCGCAAAATTTAAACAGAATAGTTAGCCACAATGTTTGATAAGCATGAGAATGAAGGAGCACCATAGCAGACGTACTTGCTCATGCTAACACCCAACCATTTTGTGAGAACGTAAGTAAATATGAGCACTCTAGTTGGCCTACTGGCCCACTTAGGCAGGTCCTACTCACACCCAACCATTACATAGCAATAGAGGTGTACCTGCAGCAATTTTACTGACCCATGGCTGGAGAGGTATAGTGATAAAGACAGTATGTAGACAGACACACATTCCCAGTTTATGAAATTTATTGAGGAAACATGTCATCACAAGTGGCTTCTTTAGCTTTAGGGCTGAACTGTGCATATGTGTCTTTACCTACTTACTGGCTTGTGCTAGGCAGGTCCCTCACATCCAACACATTTGTATGGTAGAGAGTGGTAAAGAAATGTAGATTTATTATTTACATTCCATATGCTAGCACAGCTATCCACATCTAGTAAGTGTCAGTGGTTAGCAGGTAGGGTAATGGTTTGGATGGTTGGCTGTGGAATGGAAGGATGGCTGGGGGATGGGGCAGATGACACCCTCCTTCTCTACTCCTTACCCTGGTTTAGCTTATTGTATTCACATACAATTCATCTCATCCTCTCCCTAAGGAATAACTTTTAGAATGTCTTTCCCAAACCATAATTAAATGAACAGTATTAGTTTACATTATCCTATGCAACCAAGATTTATATTTCGGATTAATAAACAGTTTGAAAAGAGATACAGGTTAGTGTTGAGGATAACAGTGGCGCATCTAACTCAGCAGTAATCAACTGTTGTGCTTGTAAACAAACTGAAGGAAGGTGGCACAAATGAAACACCTGGATGTCATC